GACACATAGTTTCGACATACTGAATTACAATTTAACACACCACCTAATTCATTGTGTCTAAACTCTCTATGTTCATCATGGATCTTAGTCTTCTGAATACTTCGACTTGCACTCCCTTCGTTATGATATCTGCAATCTGATTCTCAGTTCTACAGTATTCCAAATTCATCTTCCCATCTGCTACCTGCTCTCGAAGATAATGGAACCTCATTTCGATGTGCTTACTTAGACCATGTGCTATTGGGTTCTTCTCCAGATTGATAGCTGACATGTTGTCGATATTCATGGTAATTGCTCCATGATCTTTCCCTGTTATCTCTTCGACCAAGTTCACCATCCAAGTTGCTTGACATGCACAAAGACAAGTAGCTATGTATTCTGCTTCGTATGATGATAATGTCACTACTGGTTCCTTTCTTAAATTCTAAGCAAATGGTGCACCACCCAGCATAAACACATATCTTGTTGTTAACTTTCGATCTTCAGCATCACTACACCAACTCGAATCAGTGTATCCCACTAACTTGCATTATTTTCCTTTATCAGCTACAGGAAACAAAATGCCATAATCGAAAGTTCCTTTGAGATATCTTAGTATCCTCTTCACTGCTGCTAGATGTGATACCTTTGGCTTCTGCATGAATCTACTTACCATACCTACAGTGTATGCTAAGCCAGGCCTTGTATGACAAAGATATCTTAATGATCCAATAAGTCTTCTGTATTGGGTTGGATCAACATCATCTTCATCTGCATCTTTCAACAGTTGCAGTCTTGGTTCTGCAGGTGTCGAAGTTGAGTTACATTCTTCCATCTAAAACCTCTTGAGAATTTCTCCTGCATATCTTCTTTGATGCATCATCAAATCTCTACTGCTCTTGTAGAATTCAATACCAAGGAAATATGAAATCTCACCCAAATCAGACATTTCGAATTCCTTGCTGAGATCACCTTTGAAGTTTTCGATCTCACTTTTACAGTTACCTGTTATCAACAAATCATCTACATAGAGACATAGTATAAGCAATTCACTCTTGCTTCCTCTTACATATACTCCATATTCAGTTGTGCACTTTACAAATTCCTTCTCCCTTAGGAAACTATCAATTTTCTTATTCCAAGCTCTTGGAGCTTGTTTCAATCCATACATGGGTTTATGCAGCCTGTATACCTTTCTTTCTTCGTCATGTTTCACAAACCCAACTGGTTGTTTAACATATAATTCTTTATCTAAGGGTCCATTTAGGAATGCACACTTCACGTCCATCTGACATATGTGTCAACTGTTTATTTCTGCTAGACCAACAACCAACCTGATTGTTTCGATTCTAGCAACATGTGCAAAAACTTCATAAAAGTCTATTCATTCTTTCTGTAGAAATCCTTTCGCCACAAGTCTTGCTTTGTGTCGAGTTACTTCCCCTTTCGAATTTGTTTTCACTTTGTATACCCACTTGACATCAATTGCCTTCTTGCCTTGAGGCAATTCGACAAGTGACCAAGTGTTGTTGTCTTCGATAGACTTCACTTCTTAGCTCATTGCTTTCACCCACTTCAAATACTTCAATGCTTCAGCTGCATTAACAAGTTCGACATCTGCATAGAAAGCATAATGTACCAGCTCACCTTCATTATCTATTACATCATATTATGTAATCACACAATCTTGCAATCTTGCAGGCATGCGTCTTGTTCTTTGAGGTCTGCTTGTACTTGGTATATCTGCTGGTTCCTCTTGTCAAACTTCTCTTTCGAGTTGAGTTTTTGGTTCTTCGAATAGGATTCCCACCGAATCTTTCTTAACATTTTCAGTCCAATCCCATTCTTTAAACTCATCTATGATCATGTCCCTGCTGATCACAATCTTCTTATTCTCTGGATCGAACAACTTGTAGCCTTCTGTCGAATGATATCCAACTAGAATCATTTGACTTTATTTGTCATCAAGTTTTCTTCTCAACTGATCTAGCACATGTCTATGTGCAATAGATCCAAATACCTTCAGATGACTCAAACTAGGCTTCACACCAGACCAATATTCTTCTGGAGTAATTCCTTCTAGTTTCTTTGTAGGACATCTGTTCAAAATGAATGTTACAGTCAAAACAACTTCACCCCAAAACTCTTTAGGTAAATTCTTGCCTTTCAACATACTTCTCACCATATTCATGATGGTTCGATTCTTCCTTTCTGCAATTGCCTTTTGTTGTGGAGTATATGGTGGCACCACCTCATGCATAATCCCTTCCTTTTCACATAGCCTATCGAAGTCTTTCAACACATATTCTCCAGCACCATCAGTTCTCAAAACTTCGAGCTTTCGACCATATACTTAAACTTGGCAAATACTTCAATCACTTCACTTTTCTTCTTGATCAGATAAGTCCATAGCTTTCGACTGAAATCATCTATGAATGTAACAAATTATTTGTTACCTCCCATCGAATCCACCTGGATTGGTCCATATACATCAGAGTATATGACTTCAAGAATAGCCTTCAACATGCTTCCTGCATCCTTGCTGAAGCTATTCTTGTGTTGCTTCGCCTGCACACATTCCTCACATACTTTGTTTGGAATGTCGATTTCTGGCAATCCTGAAACCATATTTTTTCACTTCAAATCTCTGATGTCTCTGAAGTTGAGATGGCCTAGTCTATAATATCATATCCATTCATCTCTGCTAGCTGCAGTCGAAAGGCACTTGTGCTCCATCACATTTAGTTCAATCTTGAAGGTTCGATTCTGAGACATACGAGCCTTCAAGATTAATCTCCCATTTGCATCAACGACTCTCATCATCTTATCTTCGATTGACACTTTATAATTCTTTTTGACCAACTGCCCTATACTGAACAAATTGCTCTTCATGCCTGGTATGTACAACACATTTGAGATTACTGACCTTTTGCCATCTTTCCTCATAATCATAACATCGCCAATACCTTCAGCTGCTAGGGTATTGTCATTTGCAAATTTTACCATATTTTTTGTTGAGGACTTTATATTGACAAACCAGTATTTCCTTCCAGACATATATGATGAACATCCTGAATCCAAGAACCATTGGTCCTTGAATCTATCTTCATCTCTTATTGTGACCATCAACATCATCTCTTCTTCTTCATCATGTTTTGCAAGCTTTGCATCACTTTCTTGATTCTTTCGTTTTTTTGGACAATCACTTGAATAGTGACCATACTTCTGACAATTATAACATTGAATGTGACTCTTATCAGATTTTCGACCACCACCTCTTCCTCTATTTGCAACATCACCTCTTTGGTTGCCTTGGTATGGTCTTCTTTGATTCGACACGTTTCCTTCGATCTGGTTTCCTCTACCATTCGATTTGTTGTAGCCACCTCTACCTCTGTTGAAACACTTTCCTTTGCCTTTGGTCTCTTGCTGAATGTGCCTGCAAGGCCACATCACTCTTCGATTTACCTGCAACTCTTTCGTTCATTCTTTGTTCATGAGATTCAAGCGTCCCTTGAAGCTCTTCCTTTGTCAATTTCGACAAGTCTTTCCCCTCTTCTATCGCCACCACTATGTGGTCGAACTTAGGAGCTAAAGATCTCAAGATCTTCGAAACAACAACTCTTGTTGTTAACGCTTCTCCACATATCTTAATTTGATTTACTAGTTTTGTAACTCTAGTGAAGAAATCAGATATGCTTTCACTATCTTCCATCTGAAACAGTTCATACGTCCTTTTGTGAGTTTGTAACCTCACTTCTTTCACCTTCTCAGCGCCTCTAAAAGACTTCTCAAGGATCTCCCAAGCTTCTTTTGCAGATTCTGAATCACAAACCTTTTCGAAATTATCTGGGCTGACACATTGATGAATTATAAATAATGCTTTATAACTCAGCTTCTCAGATTCCGTGTATGTCTTCTTTTCTTCTTCTGAAGCGTTTTCTCCAAGCGCTTTGACTTCATCTTTTACAAGGTCCCAAAGACCTTGACACCTGAATAAGACTTTCATCTGTTTGCATCAATTCTCATAGTTGTCAACTTTCAGAATTGGTAGCGTTGCTGGATAGTTTGCATTCCCATAACTTGTCATCGTGAATTTTTCAATCGTTCTTGATTGACACTTCCCTCGAATCGAAACAAAGGCTTTGAAACCAGATGTTGAAAACTCACCGAAGTCTATGATGAATTTCTACCACAATGACAATTTAATTATGAGACAAACAAAGAAAAGAAGACAAGACAAATAATTTCTGCAGAGTTTCTCTCTGCTCACAAACTGTGAAAACTTTCTTATTCACTTTGCAACTGCAAAATACTGTGGATGACTTGTTTGACTTGCTTACAAAAATATGAGTTACTCCTTCTATTTATAACTGAGCTTATACCCTAAGTCCAAAACCCAAAATATTTTTTTGTTATTAAATCAAATCTAATTTATTTTAAACTTAAATCAAATCTATTTAAATCTAAACAAATCAAAACTTTTCGACACATAATCTCGATATACTAAATTATAATTTAACATAAACTAATGTCTTTATCAAATAAATTGGCTTAACGAAATAATATAATGATGTTTTAGAAAATGAAATAAACAAAAAAAACCGAATTAATATGGTGAAAATGACATCTCCAAAAAACTTAAATTTGAGAATATTTATCGTAAAAAATTGTCTTAAAAAGTTGAAGGTGAAGTCAAATTGAAAATGCCAACTACCAAACGCATCCTACACGGTGTCACTATAAATCAATATACACTCAATTCAACACTATCATTTCCAACACTACAATACAATCATTCAAAAAGCTATTCAACCCAAAAGTCCAAACTTAAAATACTTTTCTTATTTCAGACACAATCAACACCTTCATATCCACCCTCCAATCACCGTCATTGGATTCCCCAATTCATTTCATCCAACGATCAATATCCCAACACCTAATCACTATCCATAGAATCAACCGTATACAATCACACACAATGTTTCATCAAATCTAGCACACCATAGTTAATACTAGTAATGCTGAAACAAAACAGAACAAAAACAACAACAACAAAAATGGACATGATTCCAGGAAAAATCCGAAAACGAGGATGTTCCTCATCCGCTTCATCGTCTTCCTCCGTGATCCAAAACTACCGATTCAAACGCGCTATCCTCGTAGGCAAAAGAGGCGGATCCACTACTCCCGTACCCACGTGGAAGCTTCTGAGCTCGAGATCTCCGGCGGCGGCCATGCGGATAGTTGAATCGCCGAGGCATCCGCCGTCGCAATCGGCTGGTAAATCGAGACAGGTTCCGGTATCGGCGAGGAAACTGGCGGCCACGCTTTGGGAAATGAATGAGATTCCTTCGCCTAGTGTGAAGGAAATGCGCGATCATGCGAAGATGAAGAAAGAGGGGAAATTGAAAGATAGGGTTTCGACTGTTAGGTCTATTCGTTCTGGCTCTTTGCCTCCTCATTTGTCTGATCCATCGCATAGTCCTCCATCAGAGGTTTTTATTTTTTTATTTTTTTTTTTATATCAAATTGTTATTTTTTCTCTTTTTTAATAAGTTTTAATTATTAAATGAGAAAATGTGGAATGTGGAATGTGGAATATTCTGAGTCCAGATCATGTGTTAGTCTGGAATTTTGACTTCACTTACAAGCAATAATGTTGAAATTTAATTATAGTATTGTTATGTAATAGTATTTATTTAATTTTTTTTTTGTAGAGAATGGATCGATCTGGAATTGGTAATCGGCATAGAAGAACGCCAAGCAATTCTCATAGGATGAGGATAGCAGAACACCATGTTGGACCTTTGGATTCTCTTAGTAATGCCAGTGTTATGGAGGTATGTTATATAAAGCTTTATGTTGAGATAGTTTTGAGAATATGAATGATTTTTCTTCTTCTATTTGTTGTTGGAAAATAACAAACTCGTATATCAAGTTTGTAATTGAGTGTCTCATTGGTAGGGATGTTAATTTGCACGGGATCCCGAGGGATTGCCCCTTTCGGGACTCTAAAAATGGATGATTTCCTCTATAGGGATGAGGATGGGAACATAGTTTCCCAGGGACGGGGGACGGGGATGGGAATCATAACCCCTATCCTGTGGAGTCTACTCTCGGCCTAAATTACCATAATGTGTTTAAAAATATAATTTTAAAGTTATATGTTGTTTTATTTGATTTTTCATATAACTTTTTGAATAAAATAAATTAAAACATATATGTAATGTTAGTAAAAGAGCGAGATCAAAATTATTATTTTTAAAATTTTTTGAAGTTTGAAAATTTTGGTGGCTAAGACCATCACGGGCATTGTTGGGGAGTCTGGAGAGTGTCAATGATTTCAGGATCCAAGAAACCTTGACACCATATATCCATTCAAAACCTTAAGGCATCAGGCATCTGGGTCCTCTCTCTTACACATCGAACATTTCCAATCGACATGGGACTTAACCATTCACATTTGAATCCCAACTGGCATGGATTAAGTATTGTTAAAACAATAGATTTATCACAGAGGATTGGTTTCTACATTTCTTGTTAGTTTTTGTATTTTTAATTAATATCCCTCACCCCGCCCCATTGACAACCCTACTCATTGGAGATTTTCACTTGGTAAGCTTGTGTAGAATTTACATTTCTATCTCTCTTTTCATAAACATTGAGTAAGTGGGGTCTTCTGAAACTTTGTGAATGTTTATGAAGACCGGGAACTGGTGTGGATACTCTTTTGTTAAATTCTTATACATGACTTTTATGATGTAAAAGTTTGGTGCCAGTTTATCACTTCATTGATATCAAATAGGTTGATTCTATCCTAATTTGTCCATGGCTATGGATTATAGAAAGAGAGAAAAACATAATTTTCACATGACAAGAACATGAGAGATGCATGAGTCTTAGAAAAATCACAAAACCTATGTAAAAGTTTTATGGAAAAAATGAAATGATGATTAAGCGGGAAATGAAATCAACAAGAGTTTGACATGTGTTCACTTTAGGTCATCGTTTTAGATGATTTCTCTATCCGCCCCCTTCATGTTACTAGAAGCACACATTTGGTAGTGTGTTTTGACAAATTTGAGCAATGTAGGGGGGCGAATTGAGAAATTATCTTGTTTTCTAGATGGATAAATAAGAATAGATAAATGAAAATGCTCAGCGGGTTTCTACTTCCAAGGATTTTGTATGCTCACAGTTCATTGTTGATATGGATCTTTCATTGTATTTTTTATGCATCTACTAGTTCGATGACATTACTGACAGATAAATCTTTGTGATTGTGTGTGAATAGAAGATTTACTATAACAGATTATGACATGCCAATGTGTTCTCTATTCGTATCAGAATGGCAAGACTGCATATCAAAGTTAATTTTAATTTTTTTTTTGTTTCTTTGAATGGAGGGTTTGAATTAGCTCTTTATCGCTTTCATGACATGCTTCCGTAATACCATCTTAACTTTCTGATAATTTAAAATGTCTAAAAATGTTGTGCATGTCTTCTTATAGTTGCATCTTTCTTGCAGATTGAAACCAGATCTCGAGCGCAGACCCCTGCTTTATCTACGGTGGGAGCTAAACCGCGTTTGAAAGATGTCAGTAATGCTTTAACAACATCGAAAGAGCTGCTTAAAATTATAAACCGCATGTGGGGTCATGAAGACCGTCCTTCTTCTAGTATGTCCCTTATCTCAGCTCTGCATGCTGAGCTGGAGAGGGCTCGACTACAGGTCAATCAGCATATCCAGGAACAACGGTCAGATCAGAACGAGATAAACTATTTGATGAAGTGTTTTGCTGAAGAAAAGGCTGCTTGGAAAAGCAAGGAGCGAGAAGTTGTCGAGGCTGCAATTGAATCTGTTGCAGGAGAGCTTGATGTAGAGCGGAAGCTTAGGAGACGGTTGGAAAGCTTGAACAAGAAGCTTGGGAGAGAGCTGGCTGAGACCAAAGCATCCCTTCTTAAGGTGGTGAAAGAACTTGAAACCGAGAAGAGGGCGAGAGAAATTATCGAAAAAGTATGCGATGAGTTAGCAAGAGACGTTGATGAGGATAAATCTAAGATAGAGAAACAAAGGAGAGTATCAACAAAAGCTTGTCAGGAGGTAGAGAGGGAAAAAGAAATGATGCAATTAACCGATATGTTACGTGAGGAGAGAGCTCAAAAGAAACTCTCCACGGCAAAATATCAGCATGAGGAAAAGAATGCTGCCGTTGATATGCTCAGGAATCAGCTTGAAGCTTTTCTAGGAAACAAACAAGTTAGAGAAAAGGGACGGAGTTCCACTCACTTGAATGATGAAGAAATTGCTGCATATCTGGGAAGAAGCAGATTAAGCAACCATCTTACAGAAGATAAAGAAGACGATCAAGGGGGGGTTGATAATGGAGTGGAATGCGAAGAGGAATCTGGGGAAAGCGACCTGCATTCTATAGAGTTAAATATGGACAACAACAACAAAAGCTATAAATGGACCCACCCTTCCGAAGGTAGGAAGTCTAACTCTGGGAGAGCTTCTAGGATAAGCACATCTCTGCAAAGAAGTATATCAGATGGAGTGGAATGGGGAGTCCGAGGTGATGAGAAGCTCCAAACTTCAGGAGATGGCATAGATTGGGAAAGCTTTTATGAACTGGAGAAGCAAGCTCAAAGAAAAAGTCACAGCGATGAAATGCAAAGCTATAAATCGGTGAAGGGTTTAAAGGACCAGATATTGGCTGGTTCCAGGCTCGGATCTTCTAAGGGTTATGCCAGTCCAACCAGACAATTTTCACAACCTTGGCCGTCACGAGATCCCACAAATACCTTCCAAGAGAGGCATGCTACAATGCAAAGTTCTGGTCAAAAATCAAGGTTAGGGGAAGCCAGAGGCGAATCCCTGAATGTAAGGAAACCTAAAAGGTGAAAAAAATGATAAAATCTTCTAACACAATGCCTTGTTTGCCAAGCAATATCATTGACAAGGAGAAATGGAAAAAAGTTTTTCCTCCATGTCATGTTTTATTTTGTTGATAACCGTGTAATGCTAAAGTTGCAGCACTCGCTGCTTAGTTTTTCATCTGACCAATATGCATGTATGGTCTTGTTTGTAGAGTTCAGAACATGTGTTATAAGGATAACCATGTGTTTTTTCTTTCTCTTGTAACATATCCTGATGTTGAGTGTTTGGTTCAGTCACTTTGACTAGATAAGTATGAAAAATGTGGTGAAAATATTGTAGGTTGGAATTCCGAACTATCTGCCTAATTTTCATGGTTATATCCTACATTTAATTGTTTATTATACATTTTGTATAAAATAAATTAATATGTAATTATTCTAAAAAGAATTAAATTACTCGAACAGAAACTAAAATATGAAGAGTACTATATGTCACTACTAATATATGAGCAATCACCTCTCTTTATCTCTCTCCACAGCTTTATGTAAGTATTTTTTAATGATAAAGCTATTTAAGGGTGAAAATAGATTCAATAGTGGTGGAACCTTTGATTTAAGAGTGGTAAAACGTGTTATGTCCGTCGAACATTTCTGCTTTGCCTCTATTTTTTTTTGTATTTAAGAGTGATAAAACGTGCTATATCCCTCGAACATTTCTGCTTTACCTCTATTTTTTTTTGTATGAGGAACAAAGTTTTAAGTCTGTAGCTTTTAATATGTTTGTTATGCTTTTTTTTGGGACATTTTACATGGCAGACATTTATATAAATTTTGTAATTTTGTGCATATTATTCAAACCTTTAAAAATGTAAGTTAAAATGTAAGTTGTTCGTCTTCACTTTAAATAGAATAGCCACAACTTGATTTTAAGGCTTCAAACACTATTCTATCAGCCCATGTCTGAATTTTACCGCCTGTTCATTTTCTGTCTACAAAGAGCCTGTGTTGGATTTGTTCAATTTAAGGTTGAGAAAAGCCAGTAACACTCAGGAGTTTGAAATGATGGAAACCTCGAGACTTGATAGGGGTGACGGTCCGAAGAGATTGATGGGCTTCATGAAAAACTACGACTTGGAGCAACACAACAGAAACGCAAGAAATTTCTTTAACTATTTTAGAGGTGGACAAATTTGAACGGTACTATCTAAGTTAATCGATCTATTGTCTTTTATGAGTAAATGAATCGAGTTGGATCGGGTATCGGATTTATCAAATTATTTAATTAAGGTATTATAGGATTGATTTGATTAAATTCGGATAATTATTTTAAATCCGTTGAAAATCGAATTCGACCGAATTTAACTAATATTTATTTTATATATTTTATTATTATTTTAGAGTCAAAGCATTATAAATAAAGTTCATAATATTATCAAGTCATTATCATTTTTATAATTTAACAGTGATATTATATATTTATAAAAATATAAGATATACAATATAAAATTTTGAGTGTTATTTAATTTCTAGTTTAAAATATAATAAAGAATAAATTAATATCAAATGATATTTGAAATTTTAGAATATAATAATAACGTTTTTTTAATAATAAAAAAATAGTTCTTTTAGTTATTCTAAAATTTTGATAGTTTTTATAAAAAAAACTAAAAGTTGAATATTTGAAAATTTTATAAAAGATGATAAATTTTTATAGATTTATTTCAATAATATTAATCGATCAAATCCACCTGATTTATCTATTAAATCGATTAAATCGAATCTATTAAAAATTGAAATTTTATCGGTCGGAATCGGGCCTTAATAATGAAATTGCGGTTTGCATCGGATTTAAATTTTTGGCCTGATTTCAATCCAAACTGACCGATTGCCGATCCCTAAACTATTTCAACTCCAACTTCAAAAATTAATTTATCTATAGAAGACAACTAGGAAGATATTTGTGTTGGCGCACGAGTAATGACTGGATTTCACATTATATGTATCTAATTATGACTTGCAAAGTTCTTTTATACTCCCTCCGTTTCAAAATTGTTGACGCTTAAGGTTTTTCCACACAAATTAAGAAATGTAACAATGTTGTTATAAGACATTACAATTTTACAAAATTAACCTTACTAATGTATTGAAAGTAGTGTCCAGAGTAAAAAGTAAATGACACAATTGAAAAAATAGTAATCATTTTTATATTGAAAAGTGAAAATGACATTCATTTTAAAACATATTTTATTTGTTAAAACGACAGTCATTTTAAAACGGAGAGAGTATATGTCAAAGATAACTAATGTAATTCAACAAAAATTCAATCTATTTTGAACCAAATAGTATTTTGAATCAAAATACACATTACATGTTTTTCACTACTAACTTTTAAGCATTTGTTCTTATTTATAATAAATCGTACAACTATTTTTATAACTTCAATTATATATAACATCAACAAAAGAAATAGTTAAAAGATAGACATTAAAATGATCTGTTTTAGTTTATATCTCATAAATACGTTCACATCTATCCGTAAATCCAGATGAGTTAACAAAACTCAGTTGAATCCAGATGAGTTAATTTTAAAACTACAGAAAAGAATAAAATAATAATTCCAATTCAAATAACATTACTTTTTAGATATTAATCAATTTTTCTAAACCTAAAATTTATGACAACTTCCCGTCAAATATCAGTTTTAAATTCTTTTTATTATATCATATTTATAATTTTTACAAACTTACATGTATGACAGCTCCCCGTCAAATTTCAGTTCTAAATAAATATCTACACTTCATGGTATCTTGAAAGAAGTTATATAGTTGAAATTGTAGCGGTAGAATTGTTGAGACAAATCCATTAGATGGATTTAACTCGCACAAATCAAAATAAAAATCGCCACCGCATTTTATTGTTTCCAAAGGAATGGGAAAAGAGTGAATAACCCAAAAAGAGGGAGAGAAAATATAAGTTCGGGAGTTGGTTATGCAAAGGGAATGTATTAACATCCTAAACATCTACAGTACTCCGCAGGAACCTCTTTGAAAATTTGTGTATTTTGTCTATAAATGTTGTATACAAAAATGGATTGTGGGGATGAGGAAATAAGTATTTTTCTAATGATTTTTGCACCTGCCGCGATTGTGAACCTTTAGTGCTTACGTACCACCTTCTGTGCAATAGGGGATCAGGGTATTCGTAGTTCACCTTTTAAAAATTTTAAAACACAAGTGTGTTGGTTAATTTTAAGAGACAAGACATCATTGTCATTGTCCGAGTGGAAAACATACTTACTACTCACAATTATGAGAAATGGGAATTTGCATCATCTCAAAGTGGAGGATATAACTTGAATTTTAAAATCAACAAAGCTTCACTCAACACCCAAGTGGAAAATATCTCACTTCACTATATATTGTAGAAGTATAGTTGTTTGCATCACTACAAGGATTGACAAGAGTCTGATCTTTCTGAGAAAATTTTAAAGATAAAATCCAAAATGGCAAAAATAGTTTGAATGTGATTGATTGACTTTTAGTCTTCTCACAAAAAATGTCAAAGTATTATTAAGTTGATTAAAGTTTGATTAAGAAAAGATTTTTGAAAATGCATGGACCTAAGTCCAAGTTTATTAAGAAAGTGGTTCAAGTTTTAAAACAAGAAGAATTTCAAAAGGAGGGAGAAGATTTTTGAAATTAAAGAAGATGTGAGGAGATGAAGGGACTATCCTAAAGCATAAGATAAAAGCTAGAGAAAAGAACCGTCTAACCAGCAAGAGGCCGATACTTGACACAATGAGTCAATGTAGAATTCCCATCCTTTGAATTTGAAACCCAACAAACAATTACAAAAAGGACCTCTTAATGAAACCAAACTCCACTTGTATTAAGTCTTCACAAAAATCGGGCAGAGTAACGACTGTATACAGATGAATTCCAGATCACAGACAAAGCATGTAATCACAATAACCTGCACACAAGACAAACAAAAAAACCAATATCTTGGAGTAAACCCCAAGAAATCCATACAAAATAATAATTGAGGTCACAAGGTCTCCAGAATAGGTCAAGGCTTCTAATCCTAAGTCCAAGAAGTCTATGTCTCCAAAATGCCAAGGATAGTACCAAGTAGTCCAAATAGTATTAAAGTTTTTTAGGGTTCAAGTTGATTATTAAGTATCTTCAAAAAGAAATGAAAAGCTCAAATGAGCAAAATAAAAATGACATGAAAGTAAATGCTCAAGTGAGCAAAGATGAAAATAGCATAAAATGTAAATGCTAAAATAAATGTGCTTAAAGTAAAGGCATAAGTAACAGCATAAAATAAAGTTAATTGTTAGGAATTAGTCGTTAGTTTAATGATCATATTGGAACTTGCATTTGGAACTCATTAGAGGATTGGTAGAACCAAAGCCTCTCAACAACAAGTTGCATTTGATTTTTGTCAAGTATATCATCCATTTAAGAATTCTTAAGGAAACCTTAAGTGATCAATGATGTTTAAGTGATCCACTTTGACCAAAATTGATGAAGATTCATTAGAGGATTGGTAGAACCAAATCCTCCTAACAATGAATCTCAAGGTTATTGGATCAAAGGATTCAAATTAACATACTTGGGCTTGCAAACATGGATTTGGGCCACGAATGATCATTTTCTCAAATCGGGACAAAATTTAGCACTATGTTAAGCAATCATAAGTGGACTTATATAGAAGTCGCGCCTATTTTGAGGTCGGTCAATAGCAATCTATGTACCATATATTTTGAGACATGATATAGGAATCATGCTCCAATAACATTTAGTACAATATGAATGGGATAAGATGAAGAGGGATGGGGTGAGAAATAAATCACATTTGAACTAAAAATTTAATCAAACTATTATTAAAATTATTCATCCATTTTTATGGAGTTAGACTCGACACCATGGATCCAATAATGTTAATAAAATTCATGATCCAAATTTCATAGTCCAAGATCAGCCATAATATATATAATAAATAAAATCGTATTTAAAATAA